TTTCCCTATTTTGCTCTCTAAAATTTTTCAACATTTTGGTGTTAGTTTTAGAGGAGAAGAAGAAAGGGAGATGCATGCCGTGCTTGATGATAGCGTCATGACCCACCTCCGCTATTTCCAACCGCCGCACGGAGGACCATGGAGGTGTGTGGCGAAGTTCCATAGAGTTGTACCGGAGGAGGATGAAGAGGAGATGATGGAAAGTGGGGAACCCGCGGGAGGCTATGAGCAGCACCATGAAGAGGCAGTTCACGTCCCCCAAGCCGGAGCTCCTTACGATATGGACTACTTGACCGAGCAATTTGGTCAAATCCGCACGGAGCTTGCGGTGCATAGACGAGACTTGAGAGATCAACGCCACGCTATCCAGGGAATGGGGAGCCATTTGGGGAGCATGAACTACTACTGTCAAGAGCTGGGGAGACATTTCAACATACCACCGCCGCCGCCCTACGATCCAAACTTTTTTTTTCCTTCCCGAGAAGAGGGAGATGAGAACGATGAGTAAAGTTGACAACAAAAGGGAAGTGTACTAAAACAATTCTTATCTAGTCTTGCTCAAACTCTTGTTTATTGTTATTTTGACTCTAATGTTGTCTTTGTGCTATGTGTGTTTAATCTTGCTTTGATTGCTCTTTGTGATCCACATTGAGACATTGTGGAACAAGTGTGGGGGGTGTTCCTTTAACTTCTAAATTGCAGGATTTTTTCTCCTTAATTTGTTTACTTTTGGTCCATATTTTTTTTCAAAAATATTTTAGCAAAACCCTTGTCCTCTAAAACTTTTTTTCAAAAGATTTTCTCTTAAGGTTTTAACCTAATAATTCTATTAAAACAAAAGGTTTTAAATTTGCTTGAGGACAAGCAAAGCTCAAGTGTGGGGTATTTGATAAGCGTTTTATTAACGTAATTTATACAACAATTTATAAACGCTTTTATACTTAAAAGAATAAAACTCTCACACATATGTCTCGTTTTGCAAGAAATACTATAATCGACAATTGGATCAAATACGAGGATGAAAAGACACACGAAGAATCCCGACAAGTAAAGGTCAACCAAACGCACCCCGAGAACAAAAGGGAAAAAAGGAAAATACACCAAAGGGGTGAAAGCCGGCCCGGCTTTCACCAAAACCGGCCGGTTTTCACCAACCAGCCATCCAGTTGCGGTCCGAAGATGAAGGAAAAGCACCCGGAGCAAAAACAGACGAAAGCCGCCCGGCTTTCATGAAAGGCGCCCGGCTTTGGGCGCCGTGGAAAATATTCAGCAAACCGAACCAAAAGCCGCCCGGCTTTTGGCGAAAGCTGCCCGGTTTTCGGTCCCTGGAGCGGAGAAGCCCGTTTTAAACTCGCAAAAGCCGCCCGGCTTTTACGAAAGTCGCCCGCCTTTCACCTGGAGCTGATTAAAACAAGCAACGGTCATCACAATCATTCGGCCAAAACACCAAATCCCATTAAGGAGCTTGCTTCCTTGTCCGAAAATGGCCGTTGAGAACTCAATATTTAAGAGGATTGAAGCCCTCTCAAGAGATATTCCATATTCTACACACTTTACTTCTACTTTGGCATCCCAAGAGCAACCCCTTGGTCTTGGGAGAAGTTCTACATTTGGGGAAAGCTTTATCCACCATAGCTTTGGAGTTGTGGTATCATTTTCTTATGCATTTCATTGTATTTTATCATTTCAATACTTGTAATTTTATTATGAATTGTTCTAGCTAATTTTCTATAGCCAAGGTTAGGGATGAAACTTTACGCACTCTAGGTGTTTGATGTATGTTCTCAACCAAATTATTATGATCTTTCCTTTATATTTTAATGTGTATGACTACGGTGTACAACGTATGATTATATCGTTGGGTTTTTTTGAGCAATTAACGTTGAGTTATAAACCGTGCACTTAAAGGTTAGACATATTCTAATTGTGGATAGAAATATACCTCAATTGAGTATGGTGGTTTTTATAATGTCCTAATCTTCAATGGGGTTAATTTTAGATGAATGTGAACCGTGACGGGATTCACACGTAGAATTAATCACAATCTCGCTGCCGTAACAGGAGTTAGAATACTTTAGTGACATTCCACTCATAAGAATTGGCGAAAGAACATATATTCATCACTAAGAGTCGTTTAGGAGTAATCCCGAACCCTTGGTTGCTTTTATTATCTCTTACAAAAATCAAAAAGCTTTACTCTTTTCTTAATTCTTTTACTAAACCGCTTTCACTTTTGAATCATATAAACAACGTTTCCTTGTGTTCGACCCGGTATTTTTACCGGAATTTATTACTACATTGGCACTTGTACACTTGCAAGTTTTAGCCGATCAGCAGTATTTTTCATACATGACAGTAACAACTCCTATTTCGGGAAGAAAAATATATTAATCCTGTTTTGGAATTCCAAATCTCATTTGCTCCTATTTTGCGCAATTTCCCTAATATTTAACCTAGAACAAAGAAAATTGCAAATTTCTTTTGGAGGTTCAAAGAGAATAGGCCTACACATCACTGGATTTCCTTTAAGAGGATGTGTAGGCCAACTAATGCTGGGAGTGTGGGTATTAGATCTATTGTTTAGTCTAAAAAAGTTGCAGCTATTAAACTTTGGTGGGAGTTTCAAACGGGGGATTCTATTTGGGCTAGCCTTATGAATAGTAAGTATGGGAAGAGGGTTTTTAGGGAGGTTAAGCCCCTGGATTCCCCAACTTGGGGGAGAATATGCATGCCATGTCCACCTGGAGGCAGAACAGGTGGTTGATAGAGGACCTTCCTCTATCAGGTGGAGGCATACGCAGGATGGGTAATTCTCTACTAAGTCTGCCTACAATGCCTACAATGCTATAATGCAGGGGGAGAAGTTTATATTATACAAACATTTGACATCACAAACAGGTGCCAAAAATTAAAGTGATGTTATGAAGGTTGTGGCACAAGGGGCTTCCGTTCCCAGAGTAGCTGGTGAGATTAGGCGTGTGTTACCCCTCATGGTGCCCCCTGTGTAAGTCTGCAGAAGCCTCACAGGATCATGTCCTCCGTAGTTGTCCTATTGCGAGTACAATTTGGCATTTCTTTGATAACTCTCTACAAATTAGGGGAAACACAGTCACAAATGTTAAGTAGCAGCTCAAAAAATGGTGGATTTCAGGACGGGGTAAAACATTAGACGCTACCTACATTGCAGTTGTGCCTGGAGTAATTATTTGGCATATTTGGAAAGCGTACTGGGAGGCTATCTGGAAGGATGTCACTCCGGATGTATGATTTCACAAATAATAAATTTCATGGTTAGCTGGAGCTTTGCAAATGAAACGCTTAAAGGACACTCGAAGTTGAAGGGAGTTGGTTTGTTACCTGAAAGTTTTGGCAGGGACAAACCTCGGACCTGGAAATGGATTAAACCTCCTCCTGGTAGCTTGAAGCTGAGTTGGGCAATCTTTAGGCAGAGTGGAAGATTTGCGGCTGGTTTCTTGCTACGAGACCATTCAGGCACGGCGGTGGCGGCGGATGGTTTTCCGCTAAGTGGCTCTGCGGATAACTTAGTTGACATCGAAGAGACTTTTAAGAAAGCTCTGGAATGGGGTGTGTCGTTTCAGAGGAAGCCGGTGGAAGCTGGAGTTTTATTAAATAGTGATGCATTTATCTAGAATATTCTATGTAGAAATGGCTAGAGATGATCTAGAGAGTTAAAGCTAGAAAGTATTCTAGAAAATTCTCTACTAGAGAATTCTTGTGTAAAATCTAGAGTAATTAGACATAGATGTAGAATATTCTAGAATCATAGCATTTAATAAGGATCTAGAATGATCCTCTAGCTCCTATAAATAAAGACTCATTGTACTCATTTGCATACGAAGCAAAACCAAGAAACATCAATACAATACTACTTTTCTAGAGACAAGAGCTCTCTTCTAAAACACATCATCTACATTACACCTCACTAAAATCACTTATTCTACTCATACAACCAACAACCTCTTCTATTTTCTAACAAGTGGTATCAGAGCCAGGTTCGATCATAAGCGGGCATTATGGCGACATCAAGCTTCTCGGTATCAACTCCGATGTTCAATGGAGAAAGCTATGACTATTGGAGTGTCCGTATGAAGACTTGCCTAGAATCACATGATCTCTGGGATATTGTTGAAGAAGGAATCATCATGCCAGAAAAAGGAAGCGACGACGCATCAACTTCCGAGGTACGTAAGAAACAAAAACAGCAAAATGCTAGAGCTCTCTATCTTCTTCAACAATCCGTTTGTGATACTATTTTCCCGAGAATAATTCGTGCTACTACGGCAAAAGAAGCTTGGGATATTCTTAAGGAGGAATTTCAAGGAAATGATAAAGTTAGAACTATTAAATTACAAAGTTTAAGAAGAGATCTCGAAAATTTAAAGATGAGAGATTCTGAAATGGAAAAAGATTATTTCTCTCGGGTTATACATATAGTCAACGAAATGAGAACTCTTGGAGAAAACATAACCGATGAGAGAATAATCCAGAAGGTCCTAATCAGTCTCCCTGAAAAATATGATCCATTAGTTTCGGCTATTGAGGAGTCAAAAGATCTATCAAAAATGTCCATCACTGAATTAATGGGGTCGCTAGAAGCACGTGAGCAAAGGCTGAACAGACGACACGAAAGTTCATTAGAAAGTGCCTTCCAGTCTAAGCTCAACATTAAAACGAATCACTCGAGAAATGGTGAAAACTTTAAACCACAACAAGATGGGAATTCTAACAACAAGGAGAGGAAGACGAACTTTCCACCATGCAAAATATGCAAGAAGACTAATCACTTAGAGAAAGATTGCTACCATCGAGGAAAGCCACAATGCAGAAATTGCAAGAGGTTCGGGCATGAAGAAAAAGATTGCAGAGATAGAAGAAACTATCAGGCCAACTATTCTGAAGATTTTAAGGAGAAGGAGTACATGTTCTATGCATGTCACTCAGCCATAGAAGCAAAAGAAGAAGAGTAGTGCAACGATAGTGGGTGCAGCAATCACATGACATCCAACGAGACCATCTTCCATGACTTAGACACCTCTATCAAGACAAAGGTCAAGATGGGCAATGGCGATTTGGTGGAGGCAAAGGGGAAAGGTACCATTGTCATAGATACAAAGAAAGGTACGCGCTTTATTAGAAACGTTCTCCTAGTGCCACGCCTTGCACAAAATCTACTAAGTGTTGGCCAAATGATGGAAAGTGGATATGCCTTGCACTTTGAGAAAAATTCTTGCCGAATTTATGACAAGAATAATAATCAAGAAATTGCTGAAGTAAAAATGGGAAATAATAGAAATTTTCCTATTCAATGGCAATATCCACAAAAGGTGATGGTGGCTCAACTGAGTTATACGAGTCTATGGCATCGAAGATTTGGGCACTTCAATCTCAATGCCTTGAGATTACTACACCAAAAGAAGATGATGAGAGACATGCCTCTACTGGATGAAAAAGAAGGAGTATGTGAAGGATGTATGGTTGGGAAGCAGCATAGGCAACCATTTCCAACAGAAAAGACATGGAGAGCCAAACAGATACTAGAGCTTGTCCACACCGATGTCTGCGGTCCAATGTGCACGCCTTCAGTTTCGAAGAACAGGTACTTCATACTCTTCATCGATGATTACTCTAGGATGACATGGGTGTATTTTTTCCAAGAAAAATCCGAAGTCTTTAGAATATTCAAGAGATTCAAGAACTTCGTGGAGAAACAGAGTGGTCATCAAATCAAGAAGTTGAGAAGCGATCGAGGTACCGAATACAACTCAAAAGAATTTGACAAGTTCTGTGAAGATGAAGGTGTAGAGCATCAACTAACAGTAGCATACACTCCACAACAAAATGGGGTATCCGAAAGGAAGAACCGCACAGTCATGGAGATGGCAAGGTCTATGTTAGCTGAAAAAGGAATGCCTAAAACGTTCTGGGCAGAGGCAGTATATACTTCAGTCTATCTTCTAAACCGGTGTCCAACTAAGGCGGTTTTAAACAAAACACCTATTGAGGCATGGTCGGGACAAAAGCCTTCAGCCAAACATTTGAAAGTCTTCGGAAGCATATGCTACATTCATGTTCCCTTATGTTAAAAGGCACAATTTAGAAGACAAGACAGAGAAGGGCATCTTCCTTGGCTATAGCTCCAAATCCAAGGGATATCGAATCTACAATCTCGAGACAAAGAAGTTGGTGACAAGTCGAGATGTGGAGTTTGACGAGCAAACCTCTTGGAATTGGGAGACAGAAAAAGTTGAAAGAAAGACAACTACTGTCCAACTAGAGGAAGTACCATAAGAGGAAAATCACAATCAACAAAGCTCCACGTCTACTCCAAGATCCTCTTTTGAAGCTAATACATCAAGAAATCACGACTCCTCGCCAGAGTCCACACCTCTTCGGGTAAGAACTCTAGCAGACCTATATGAGTCTACTGACATCTATGAAACATGCAAATTTTGCTCCTTGGAGCCATATAGCTACATCGAAGCCTCCAAAGAAAAAGTTTGGATTAAAGCAATGGAGGAGGAGATCAAAATGATAGAAAAGAATGATACTTGGGAAATGGTAGATCTTCCGCATAACAAGGAGGCTATTGGAGTCAAATGGGTGTATAAAACAAAATTGTACCCCGATGGCTCAATTCAGAAGCATAAGGCAAGGCTGGTTGCAAAGGGGTATGCTCAAATATCGGGAGTTGACTACACAGAGACGTTTGCACCAGTTGCCCGGATGGACACAATAAGAACACTCATAGCTCTTGCAGCTCAGAAGAAATGGATAATTTATCAGCTAGACGTCAAGTCAGCCTTTCTAAATGGAGAGCTACGAGAAGAAGTGTATGTGGAGCAACCAGAAGGATTCATCAAAGAAGAAGGAAAAGTTCTTCGTCTAAAGAAAGCGCTTTACGGGCTCAAACAAGCTCCACGAGCGTGGTATAGCAAGATTGATGGATACTTCACCCGTCAAGGGTTCAGGAGGAGTAAGAACGAGGCTACACTATACATCAAATCCCAAGGTAAATCTGGCATTCTCATCGTCTCTCTATATGTTGATGACTTAATTGTCACGGGAAATAATTCCAAGTTAATTGAAGAATTTAAGAGAGACATGATGAACACTTTTGAGATGAGTGACTTGGGATTAATGCACTACTTCCTTGGCATGGAGATAAGTCAAGAAGAAGAAGGCATATTCTTATCTCAAGAAAAATATATTAAGGACATGCTAAAGAAGTTTAAAATGCAAGACTGCAAAGCCGTCGTTACTCCACTGGTTCCTAATGAAAAATTGAAGAAAGAAGATGGGTCAAAGCAGACGGACGCAACCAATTACCGAAGTTTGATTGGGAGTCTACTCTACTTAACGGCTACGAGGCCGGACATCATGTATGCTACAAGTTTGCTCTCGAGGTTCATGGAAAGACCAACTGAGACTCATTATGGAGCGGCAAAGAGACTCATTAGGTATCTACAAGGAACCATCAATTATGGTATTTGGTACAAAACAACTCCTGACTCACGACTAACTGGATATAGCAATAGTGATTGGGCTGGATCTCAAAATGACATGAAAAGCACCTCCAGTTACGCATTTAAGCTGGGTTCAGGAATTTTCTCATGGGGATCAAAGAAGCAAGATTCTGTTGCACTATCTTCAGCCGAAGCCGAGTATGTTGCAGCAGCCGGAGCAGCGTGCCAAGCTATATGGCTAAAAAGAATATTAGAAGACATGGGAGAATTGCAAAGTTCCGCGACTCAAATATTTTGCGACAACAAGTCAGCTATTGCGATGGCTAAAAATCCAATTCAGCACAATCGTACTAAGCACATCGATATCAAGTATCACTTCTTGAGAGATGTCCAAGCAAAGGGGCATATTGAGATGAAGTACTGCCCAACAAAAGAACAATTGGCAGATATTTTCACGAAGGCCCTGCCTAGAGACAAATTCCAGTTTCTGCGAAGAATGCTTGGAGTCACTGACAAATGCATCAAGGAGGAGTATTAAATAGTGATGCATTTATCTAGAATATTCTATGTAGAAAAGGCTAGAGATGATCTAGAGAGTTAAAGCTAGAAAGTATTCTAGAAAATTCTCTACTAGAGACTTCTTGTGTAAAATCTAGAGTAATTAGACATAGATGTAGAATAATCTAGAATCATAGCATTTAATAAGGATCTAGAATGATCCTCTAGCTCCTATAAATAAAGACTCATTGTACTCATTTGCATACGAAGCAAAACCAAGAAACATCAATACAATACTACTTTTCTAGAGACAAGAGCTCTCTTCTAAAACACATCATCTACATTACACCTCACTAAAATCACTTATTCTACTCATACAACCAACAACCTCTTCTATTTTCTAACAGTGTTGTATACGGAGCTAATGGGGCGGTGTTCGGGCTATTTGAGCCAGTTTGGTTTGCTGAGTGGTTTTGGGCCGATTCCAGTCCAATGCAACAAGGCCGCTGATTGCGTGGCCAAGATGGGCTTGGGGTGGTCCCTTTAGATGGCGGGAAAATGATCCGGTTCCAGATATTTTACTAGGAATCCTATTTTTGGATTCTATATCGTTTTCCTATATTTTATCCTAAGTTTTTGTTTCACATGTATTTTGTTTGGGAGAGGTATTGGTTTGGTCCCCTCTTCTCCTGTTTTCTGGATATCGTTTTATAAAATCCGGCAAATGTTCCCCGGCATTTGTCCAACTGATTTTGGTGGTTTGTTAACCGGGTTTTAAAAAAACCTAGAACAAAGAAGAAGAACGTTGAATTTTTCTATTATATTGAACAAGATGATATTCTTTTTATATTTTCACATTAACTTAGTAAATGAAAGATGATATTTATGTTGTGTATCATCATTTTGCTATATTTTTTCTTAGTTGTGTTGCACTATTTGTGTATTTATGAATTTTAGTAACGCGTATACAATTTCTTGTATGTATATCAACACTTAATGTGAGTTGATTGGTGTGATGTTATTATTTACTAATGGCAGGATTTGTCTAATTCTTTAGCATGTGTTTGACATTGTACCATACCGTTTTATACCGTTCCGAAACGACCTGGTATCGAATGATTCCATCCTTTGAACCAGACCGTACCGGACCGTTAGAAAACTCATGGATATATTACAGGTTTTACTAATTTTCCGGACCGTTCCGAACCGTGCCCACCCCTAGTAATATTTATTATTATACTTCGTATCATGCAATAATATAAAGTCAGTAGGGGACGGGTCCGGCACCTGATCCCAAGATTGAACTAGCTAGACAAAAGGTGTCGATCTGATCTCGTGAACCGGTCGAATCCGGACCCAACCAGTTTGGGACCATAAAGTGGGTCCAACCCTACCGACAATCATATTGGTACATGTCAGGTAGAGTAAAACCAGGCCCAAAATTCCTGATGCGAGCCTATGTTCTTGGGGACTGGAATCGGTTGTCTCAACCCTAGATATGAGTCACCCTAAACCACTGTGATTTACCTATATATCGGAAATACTCATTTACCCAGTAATTTATTGGCGTAATGAATCTCTTAGAAATGAATATGAAGATATTAAAGTGAGCTCAACAAAATATATACCTCATTCACATGATTATTGAACCGATTCACAAAACTCTAATTCAATGTTCTAAAAAAGGACGTAAAATGGACGCAAGGACCCTGCCCTATGGATGGACTCGGGCTGGGGCCAGTCGGGTCTGGCCAGGGCCCGGTCTCGGCGGGCTTTGGTGCTACAAAATTCAGGCCCGGTACCGGCTCGGTTTGTTCCGGTATCGATTCTGGTCCTGGTACCCGGCCAGGCCTCAGTCAGGTCCTGACAGGGTCAGGTCGAGCCGATCCTTTGGTTATTTTTTTTCAAATTAATTCAACAAGTGCTAGACATTACAAATTAAATGTGTATTTATTTGAAATATGAAGTACAATTGAGAATTGAGAATAATATAAGACACTAAATATATTTGCTAAAAATCATTCGAAATCTCCGCCATCGTCGGTTGTTGTTTCCTCCTTGAAATGGTGGTCGGGGGCGATGCAAACTTCTTGAGTTCTATGTCGAGCCTTCAAGCAATCATGGAAGCAAATCAGCGTCGCAAGAGATTGTGCGCTCAATTTCGTTCTGTAATCCGTTAGGACGTTGCCGGTTTCGCTAAATTCTTGTTCCACTGCTACTGTTGACACCGGCATTGATAGCACTTGCTTCGTCATCCTCGATAAAATCGGGAACATTCCTTCTTTGTCTTTCCACCATTTGAAAACGTTGAAGTCGTCTCTTTTTTCATACTCACAAGAAAATGTTAGATATAAAGAAAACTCGTTGATCGAGCTTTGTCCAACAGCGGGAGTTGATTTATCTTTTTCATAAGATTACCAAATGTAGATTTGAAAAATGA